TTCATGAATTTAGCATAATTAGGTATACTAGCCAGAGCTTCAGCAAATAGAATGTTGATATGCAACTTTTTGAAGATATCAAGAAATCTGTCGTACTGCTGCTTCTGAGCATCTTTCTCGAATCTTTCAGGATAAGGTGCCATGGCTTTCACATATCCAGGACTCATCTCAAATTTCTTCTTTTCAGCAACAATCGGTTATTCTTCTTCTTCAAATTTCTGAAGAGGCTTCACAACTTTAGAATGAATTACAACTTCTTTTTTGGGCTCCTCAACCTCATTAAGATTCTCATCAGCTCCCACATTTATGTTTGGCTTTTCTGGAGATACCACCACTTTGCCACTTCTAGTTGTGATGGCCATACAATCTTCCTTCGGATTAGTAATTGTGTTACTAGGGAAGGTACCTGGAGTTCTATCAGCAATTTGTTTAGCTAGTTGGCCAATTTGATTCTCCAAATTTTTGATAGATGCATTTGTGTTCTTTGTATTAGCTCTAGTCTCCTCCATGAAAGCATTAGAATGCTGAGCCATTTGTCCTACTAGCTTCTCCAAATCAGAAGGTTCCCTGGGTTGGATTGGTGGAGGCTGCAAATAATTGTTAGATTTGAAGTCAAGACCAGTTCCATGAACCCTCCTTTGAAAATTATTACTTCCAGTAGAAAAATTCTGATTTCTTGAAATATTTTGCTGCGGAGGTCTTTGATCATACCAAATGCCATTCACCTACATTTGTTGAGGAGGATCAGAAGACAGCAAAGAAGGACATTCATTAGACTCATTATTGTCCTGACAATATTTACATACAACAGCAACAGCTTTAGCCTGAACGCCAGAAATCTGCATCTTATCAAGCCTTGAAGTCAAATTTGCAATTTGCTGAGATAATAGCTTATTTTCATCCAGCTCAACATCATTGCCTTCCAGCTGAAGAATACCTCTCTTAGGCTTAGATGGCAAACCTTCATTTTCATTGGCAGCCATTCTCTCAATCAGCTCAAAAGTCTCATTTGCTCTCAAGGATTTAATAGTACCACATGCTGCACCATTCAACACCATCCGAATATCAGGTGTACAACCATTGAAAAAGATTCTCACTTGATTTCCAGCAGTCAAGTTATAATGAGGACACCTCCTCATTAAATCCTTGAATCTGTTTCAAGCTGCACACATAGTTTCACCCTCTAACTGAGTGAAATTAGTAATATCATTCACCATCTGATTATATCTCTCCATAGAAAAGAATTCAGCAAAGAACTTTTGAGACATATCATCCCATGTAGGAATGCTACGTGCAGGCTGCCTTTCCAACCAACTAAGAGCCTTTCCCTTAACAGCAAAAGGGAACAACCTCAACCGGATTGCATCATTGGACACTTGAGGATGTTTGGTTGAGTCACAGACCATGAGAAATCTGTCTATGAATCTATGAGGATCTTCATTCTCCCCTCCTCCAAACTGGGCTCTCTCCACCAATTTTATAGTAGAAGACTTAAGCTCCCAATTATTGTTACCAATTACCGGATGGACAATGCTTGAGTTCGGCCTATTAAAAGATAGAGTAAGAATAGTATCCATGAGTGAATTTTCTTCATCATTATTTGTTGCCATGATTGATGATTCAACTGGTGTCTCCTGAGTCTCTTCAGACAGAGTATCAATTTCTTTGAACTGAAGCTTTTTTCGAGCAAGTTTTCTATTTGTCCTTTCAGTTTTTGCTATCTCAGAATCAAACAGAAATTCTTCAGTTTTACCTTGCATACAACTCAGGAAAGAGATTAGTAGCACTTTTCAAATAACAATAAAAAAAAATAAAAAAAAAAATTCACAAATTCCAATCATAAAGATCAAAATTATATGATATAACAAACGCCAATCCCCGGCAACGGCGCCAAAAACTTGATGCTCACCGGCAAGTTTACCGATCGCACAAGTAATACAGTGATAAGAAAAGTATCGTCTCCACAGGGATTGTGATCAAATATCAAATAATCGTTCCTTTTAAGACGGAAAGAATTCAAAGAGATGTGAAGAATATTGTGGATTTGAGTACCAATAAGAACTAAGATAAAAAAGTATTTTTAGATTTTTGTTATGAAAAATAAAACAGAGATTGACTTTATAAAATATAAGAAGCCATTGTAGCTAGAGTGCACTCACCATATGATCCCACCTTTTACTCTGGATTAATTTAAAATACTCATTTAAATAAATACTCAGATAATTTATCATCTAAAAATATTAAATAGCTAACCCTCAATTCCTTGAAAGGTTGACCCTTTAACCCCAATTCCTTGCGATGTTTCTCATGAAATTAAGCAATGAGCACGATAAATTAAACATCTGCAATAATATATACGTTTATTCCTAGCACGCATACAAATTGTTATCCTACTCTCTTTCAAGATCAAAAACCCCAATATTTCTATCTAGGGTTCTTACCCTCAAACTATCATCAACTATTAGATTGATCAATTCTAACAAAGAAGATAGAAATTACGCACAGAGTAGAGATAAATATAAATATATAAAAGAGTAATTATAAATCAATCCGTTGTAACAAGGGTTCACATAGGGGTTGTGACCCTAACTACAATAAGGAGTACTAGCCAACCATGATCATGGCTGACATAAAATTATAAAAGATAAAGATGAAAGAATGTAATTACAAAAAGAAGACTAGGAACAATCCTTTATTCCTCTCCTCATTCTGGAATCCTTGTTTTTCTCTGTCGTCGAAAAAGTGTCTTGAATAAACCCTCACAGCGTTCTTTTTATAATCCTAGTTCGCTTCTTCCAAAATTGCCCTTTCAGAACACGGTGATTTTTCTCGCAAACTGGCGCGGGATCGCGCCACTTCTCTGGAACATAGGCTTGCAACCTAACTAGCGCAGGATCGCGCCACAATGGCGCCAGATCGCGCCACAATGGCGCCAGATCGCGCCACTTTTGTAGAAAATGGCCCAGGTCTTCACGGTGCAGCTGAGAACCCATGCCCGTGCAGATTCGTGCAACAGTCTTTTGAAATTTCGTTTTCTCTTTCTTTCTCCCTATATAAACACAACAAATAGGTGAGAAATATCATTGAAATGGAAAAATCAACATAATAAGCAAATATGTAAATAAACTGCTCTTTTATGACTTAATCCTTATCATTTTTAGCTTGGAAAACTACATATGCCAGAGACACATAATTTATAATTTGGAATAATTTTATTTTAAACTTAAAAGAAAACGCATTAAAATATAATTAAGATGAAATTAAATTGTAAAATAAAAAAGATTAAAAAGTAAAATTTACATCATTTTTCATGTCATAAAAATTACTATTGTGACACTTTTGTTTTTCTTTTTCTACTTTGTTTACACACCATACATATAAGTATCAAAATATGCATGTAAAAATACATTAATAAAAATCAGTGTATACAAAAAGAGAATTACAATAAAGAAATAAAATTAAGCTAACTCATGAATAATTATTAAATTTTGAATGAGTTTATTTATTATACTTTACAATATTATAAGTATATTTGTATTTAAATTTTTTTGTTGAATATAGTTTATGAAGGTAAGGTGATAAAGGTGGTTTGATTTTATCAAATGATGAATGGTGAGAACATCGATCGGAAGCCCAATGAAAATAAGTGAGCCTAAATGATTAAAATGAAAATGACCACGCTAGTTTTGTGAGGGCCTGCAAAATCAAAATTTACAAATACCTAGACAGAGAGGGGAGGGGAGGGGAGGGGGTTTGAATAAACAATGATTTACTTATATTAACCTCTTATTTATCTAATATCTTTAATGTATTAATTTGTTGGTACTCATCCGCAAAGGACTGAAGGAGAGACACCTTAAGGAAAGCCAGCGATTGAATGGAAAAGAACTTCTAAAGCAGCTCCATCTCTATTACTCCGTGTTGTAATTTTGCAAAAGCAAACAGAAAGCTTTTGCTTATTACTTTATTTTTATCGATTGAGACCATATACCTGTTGCGGAGCACAATGCAAACCCACCAACAAATTAAAGGGCTTTTTTTTTTCCACAAAAAAAGAGAGGCTTTTTTTAATGGGATTAATATTTTTTTATGTTATAAGATATAATTTTATTTTTTACACGCACATAAAAATGTGTGAAGCTTATACTTTATTTTTCTTTATCTTCTTCTCATGAGTCCACATAAATCTCACATACTTTTACGTATATATAAAAAAAAATTATCTATTACAACATGAAAAACACTAATCTTTTTTTAATTTAAGAAAAAATTGTATATACAACAAAAAAAGACAGACAAAAAGAGCCCTCGATAGGAAGAAAGAAATACAGAAAGTTTGGTTAAGTTTCATCAACTAGAAACTCGAGAAACTTAAAAATACATCTTACTCACGCAGGTGCGCGAGTCTTCACTTCAGATCGAGCCGAGGTATGAGAAGCTTATCTCATTTGAAGCAGCTCTCTCTCTCTCTCTCTCTCATAAAGTGTTGCTCGCTTGCAGTGTGTTTGCAAAGTTAGACAATTATGTATGGATCAAGACACAGAATGAATCAAAGTGGAACAATGCTTGCTTGGCTTGTATCACATCATGCAAAGTGTATATGGCTAGTTGCAGGTCTACACAATTTAATTACTTTACATATTTATTTACTTTTTGCACGTTCTAGTTCCCATTCACGTGATGTGGTAGCTTCCTTCATTCTTACTTCAGCGTCCTGATTCTAGACTTTAAAACCCTCGTTTCCTTATAAGGTTGCATGGTTTGTCCCCCTATCTTTTTTTTGGTAGACAAAGCTAGTAATTATTAATCTCCACGTGTAATCTTTCTCTCTATGAGCTCTCACACTCCATATATGCGTGTGCGCTTTTGTGAAGAAATGTTTATACTCATATCTGTCTCAGAGCTTGTTTACGAAGACCACACCAACCACGACTTAGACCAACTTTAAACCAGTATATGATGGGAATAAAAGAAATCAAGCATGTATACAGGTATTTTAATAAGATAGATTAAAAGCATTGAAGTGTATGATTCAGTAAAAATATAAAGGGAAAAGTATCGATCACATACAAATATCCAACCGCTATTACATATAATATAATTAAACATATTATTCAGAGTTTCTTACCGAAGTGAAAAATTAAACAACAAAAGTGTAATGTAAGCATACCGCCATACACCACCCTACACCTCGATCACAGTGAGGAACTTTGCATCAGCTTTATTTATTTATTTATTTATTCCCGCTTATTTTTCTTTCTCCTCATTAATTTCTTACTTATACCAAGTTGTTTGGTATAAAGGGGAGGTTGATATTGATAAAGTATTAATGTTGAGCAGAAGACCAAGAATTTGAATCAACCCAGTTATATGCAATAGGGCTCAAAAAAGCATCAGGAATGCCAAAGGAACTGACCAAGGCAAGTGCATGCGGTCGAAGTTCAGCACAGAGTTTGGGCACTTCTTTCCTCACTGCAGAAGCATTCTCTGTTGATAAGTATCCATATCGAAGAAAGGAAGCATCTTCCTCCATAGAAATCACGGCATACAATGATCTCAACAGACCTAAGACATTCTACAGAGACAAATGCAAAGAAATCAATAAATAGTTCTGTTTCACTTCTTTATCCCATAAATAATTTGACCAATATACATGTGTGTGTATGTACATATACATCTATCTGTGTGTGCTTGTGTGAATAGTTCTGTTTCACTTCTTTATCCCAGAAATAATTTAACCAATATTCATGTGTATGTATGTATACATATCTCTGTGTGTGTGTCTCTCTCTCTCTCTCTCTATATAGCAGAAATATAGAACAAGCAATAAAATGATTTACCTTCAAAGAACCAGCTGGTAAAGTTGACTCAGCCTCCATGAACGTTTTCAGTATTGCTCGTTCTGAGAAAGCTCTGCCCAAGTCCTCTGCAAGCTGATAACTCTGAAAGAGAAAAGAGTTTCAAACTGTAAGACACAGAAAAGATGAAGGAATAATTAACAAAACCAGGTAGAATTCTCACTTGAATGAAGGCAGACTCTTTGCTTTTTCCGTGTGATCGATATTCTGAAACCTCTGCAGCAAAACATCTCAATAGATCTCGCTCTCTTAGGTGGAACAAATCAGTCTGTGTAAACGAGAGGTAAGAAACAATAGAAGGTTCTATCTGGTTATTCCAAATATCAACAGGTATAGTGAAATGATTACCTGAAATTCACTGCTCCTAATTGTAGAACTTGTTAACTGAGATGGGATAACAGGCCAAGGTTTGTTCATGTGTTCTAATCCCAAACCTCTAAATGGCTTGTTTTTTGTCTGACATGCTATGTATTCTGCAAGGAGGGCCTTGCTGATCTGAGGTGAAATGTCGAACCCATGAATTCAATCCATTCATATTGAACAAAAAAGAAACGAATGATGCTTAAATTTGACATGAATTATTTCATGCTACTTCAAGTCTTCAAGTGGATAAGTCAAATATCATAAGCTAAAAGTCTATCAACAAGGTTCACCCAAATCAGAAATGGGAAATGGTCAGTTCTGGAGAACCCTGGTTAACCATCCAATAAAAAACACATAAAACAGATTCGTTTCAATTAATATATTATATTTCATTAAATATCTCTATTAAGGCATAAAAACTGATTTCGTTTCAAACACAACCATTCATGTAAAATTCTTTTGGGTTAAAGTCTGACAAAGCATAGGACTACCAGTACCTTTTTGCTGAAATCTCAATTAAAAAACAATAAGGCAGTGTTTGGTTCGGGACATACGAAAATAATCCCATCTAAGTGTAAGTGGGTTTCCTAAAACACCACGTTTGGTTGAGGACAACGTTCCTCTTATCCATCATTCCTCCTTGCCCAGCTATCGAGATCAAAGTGAAAAATGGATGAAAATCACGGATTCTCTTACCCTCTCCCACCATGGTATTGCTGAGAAATTCATTTTGATGGAAAGTGAAGATGAAAAATAAGACAAGTTTACCCCTGTTAATCCCAGTTGTACCCCAAATTCGAACACCAGTCTGACTTCGATTCTTGGACCGAACATCCCTATCGCGTTCCATATTTGTTCTGTTGTGCTGCTCTGAAACCCAAACAATTGAAACCCAAACCTCACTATGACTGAGGAAACCCAGATGCTTGTGTTCGGTTATCAGGTAATGGTAACATTTGTGTTTTTTGGAATCAAGCTTAGTCTGTAGTTATTATGGAAAAGTGTCTAAAAGTTTGTTGTCTTTCGTAGCACGTTCCTTTTGTTTAGCTAGTGAAAGAAGAGAATCTGTTATATTGAACCGGATCTAGCGCGAAGTACAAGCTACTGGTTTGAAGACCAGCGCCCGATTTGTTTTCGTTCATACAAGGGATCCTCTTATTTTCGTCACAATATTCTGGTAAGACTATACATAGCATTTGGAGTCATCATCTCTGTTTAAGAGTGGTTGGTACTTGCAAACATGATTTGTTACAGTGGCCACACACCATTTCCTTATCATACGATTCCATCAGATTTGTATTTGGTTGAGCTTGTTAAATATTTTCTATTTTTTTATTTTTTTTATTTATTTATGTTGGTACATGTATGTGGCAAACGGTTCAGAAAGGGGAGTTTTCATATTTATTTTGCATAGCTTTGATATCTGTATTACTATATTTTTTCCTCTCTTTAGTCCCTCAATTTGTATATTTTTTTGGGTTCCTGGATACGAAAGGTATTGCTAATGTTGATACGAAATGTGTTGTTTTCTTGGGTTCCTCTCTTTAGTCCCTGTAACGTGAGTTTTGTTTTGCCCTCTTTAGGAATGTGTTGGTTGATGTTATTAAGCAAGTATTTGTGAGCTTCATTGCTCAACTTGTTCCCATTTTGTTATGTTGTGTGCCTGCATGTAGGAGTTATGTATGGTGTAGGTGTAGTGATGTTGAATTTAGTGGAAGTTATTGTTGCTGCAGTCGCTGCTAAAATTTGGATTTTGCCTTGATACCTTAACTTTTCTTTTCATTATGATTTTCAGAAAGTATTGTTTTTTAATTGAACTTTATACGGAAGATCCTATTAAATTAAAAGCCCTGACCTCGATCTCAATCTCCTCCTAACATAACATTTGAAAAAAACTATTGCAGTGATATCTTGCATTAAGCACAAAATCCAAAATCAGAAACCATTAAAAGAATTTCCTACATTCCACTCCTTATATTGCATATTTGATATCAGATTGGCATCAATACTGAACATACATCATGTCAAAACTTGAAAGGAGCAGTGTTGACAAAATTACCAGGCATTGCAATAGTTTAAAGAGAGAGTCAACAAATAAAATCCTCCAACATACACAATTGGATATGATGAACAAAAAGCTGACACCCCCCAACCTACTCAAACCTTAAAAAGAAGTGATTTTTTTAGTTCATCATTGAATAGGTTCTTTTGTCAACAAGTTCCCTTGTTGGCCCATAATTAAGGAGCTGGTTTCTGTTTTCTACAATGGTTTTAAACAATATAATTTAACTTTTTTTTTTGTTATGATTTTGTAATGCATTTGTTTGCTTCAGTTGGTGTTGTGTTATTGTCCTTCAACTGAGAGCATCGACAAATTGGTGTCTTGCTTTCAACACCAAGCAGATGGTAGCAATAGAAGAATGTCAATTATGGATGAGCTAGACAAATATGATGAACTGACCGTGCCTCAGAGGGTTCATGTAGGTGTGATACTGGGCAAGGACAGTAGTATGACTGATATTTTCATGCAAAGTAGTGAGGTAAATAGAAGGTGCCTGGTTGCTGGGTTGTTGGCAAATTTCGAACAATAATTATACCTTCAAAGTGATAGCTTGTCAATGGAGGCCTAACTACTGCCATTCTGTTTTTGTGTGACTGTGGTACTCACATTTTTTGGTACTTGTTGTGCTACTGCCTCACTGTTAATGGTTTAGCACTATGATTTTTTGGATGATGTATATACCACTATGTTGTAATTTTTGGTTATAGACCAGCTATAGGGTCAGCAGACAAGCATAGTTAATGCTGTCTCAATAGTGCTAATTGTTCATGTAGGTGTACTGTCATGTATGTTAGAAACAGATTTAAGTGGGAGTTTTTTGTAAGTGTACTGTCATTATAATGCACCTGGTTTCTGATTTTAATTATTAGTAGTTTTCTGTATCTTGTAATTTTGTGCCTAATGCTGCTTCTCATGGGAATGATAACTACTGTATTCATAAAGCATATTGGAACATATTGGCAGTACTGATACTGAGAAGAATTGTACTATAACCATTAATTCTCTATATACAACACATTTTTATTTGTATGATCAATAGGTTGTCAAGAAGGTATCAATCTAAAACATATTGGAACACCGTGCGGCAAAAGGCTTGATCCTCAAAGGATGTCATGGAATTTTATGGTCTCAATAAAATATATAACTTAAACGAAGCCAGAGGCTTGCAACAAGAGTTATTATTCATTCTCACACTAAAAAGCCTTGCATAGGCGAAGATAACTTAGTCCAACACCATTTTTTTATTTAAAAAAAGTTAGTCCAAATTGTTGAGCGAGAATAAAGAGTTTGAGTGATTTTCTCACAGGTGTGAACATCCATACTGTGTGGTAAGAAGCATGAATTATTCAAGATCCGTGCTAATCATTACATATCAAATATAGGATATTATTTTTCCATATATTTCTGGGAGTCTCTCCTGCCATTACATTGTGTCTATTCTAACTCCTATTCAATTAACTTCTATATAATTTCTCTAAATTATAAATTTGATTAGCAAAAGGAGAAGGAGTAATTTAAATAAAAAATAGTTAACATATGGGAGTAGCAATATCAAACATCATATTCCTCGGATGTACTCCAGGATAATTTCCGAAGAAGTGATAATGCTTCAAAGTTCAAACCCTATACAACATAAAGATTTGTTGGAAAAACTCAAACTCCAACAGAGGATGCACAGAGAAAAGATTATAGGATAGAATTGCATTTCAATTGAACCTTCCCACTGTGGCACTGTTGTACATCAAACTCAACCACACTCAAAACCCAATGCCAATGCAATCCAATGATTAGACAATATTAAGATCAACAACAAGCAAAGTGTACAGCAACGTGTGCGATCCAATTTTTGTACAGAAGAAATAAAAAAAAAATTAAGTTCTAATTGGTAAGAAGCAGATCCAGAAAGAGAGAGAGCAGAAGAACTCTCAGATCAGGTCCAATGCTATGATAGTTTTTAGAAGGATAGTTTTGTAATTTCATTAAGTTTTCCCATCAATATTTTATCTCCAACCAAACACACATTCAGAAATTTAATTCAATTTTCCTGGTAAAATTTTGCTCAACCAAACAACTTTTTTAAAATTTTCCTATCTAACTCACTTTCCTTGCAGATCCCTAGTATTTACATTTCCCTAGTATTACAAAATTTCACCCGAACCAAACACTACCTAAGAGTAATAAGGATCAAAATTCTAACCTCTTGAACAAAAAGGCTCAAATACTATACTTAGAAACCAATCAACCAAAAAGTGTACACTGTTGGATGAAGGCCCAAAGTGGGTTTTATCTCCAGCAAGTTCATATTAAGTTTCAAGCATTGAAGCCAAAAGCCCCAGTTAGTATCCACAGAGTTGGATCCCACATAACTATTTCTATATTTTCACAACCGCTAAAAAGTCAAATGTGAATAATCTAACACAACCTGTCAGGATTCTAGTATTGCTTTGCAATCAGCACATCATATGTCTCCTAGGTTGTGTTAGATTATTGCTCTGCAATCAGCATGACATATGTCTCCTGGGTTTGAATTAAAAAATGTTGCGCTTAATTATTATACAAATTTCATATTTAACAGAATAATCCATCCTACCTGCTGCATCAGAACATTGTTGTCCCCCTCAAATGTCGAATGCACATCAAATTCACCCTTAAAATGGCCAACACGATTTTCAGTTTTAAGGCCTTGTCCTCCACAGGCTTCACGACATTCCTAGCACATGCATTAATAACACCTTAGTGGAGCCAATACCATAATATATCGAACCAAAGTATAATAACAACACTAACCTGAAGAGTACGCATATTATTCCATGTCAAAGTAGCCTTGTATGCACTAGAAACAATATGAATTGCTTTGTTTGATTCGGGAGTTCTTTTCACATACAACATTTTGAGCTCATTTGCAGCAAAACTCATTGCATATCTGTCGAAAAAAGTAAACAAAAGAACATTAACAGGTACTATCTCGGTCCATTATTATATCTGCCAATGGTTAAACTAGGATAGTCACTTTTTATTAAATCCCTATATAGTTATTCAAAACGAACAACATATATGAGCCACAGTGCAGATGTTTATGTCTCACTTCTCATGAGTGCATGCAGCATGTCGCTTTTAAATCAAATGTTTTCTTTTAGAATATATATGGGAAAATATCCTCTGAATGTGGTATAAAAAATAATTAATCCTGTAATATTGTGTATATATTTCAGAGATTTTAACATTTTAGTGAGAAAAGCATATGGGGGTGGGATCTTAAATTATGTAGGATAATTAAATAAAGTGGCATACCTAAATTTCAGATTCCTAAAAGACTTGAATCATTTTGAGGTATCAGCATATAAATATCAAAATGCTTGTAATTAGAGGACTTACACCTTTGCAAGTAAAGGTAATAGACGCCGTTGATGACTTGGGTAATCTAGCAGTAAAACTTCAGGCCCATTTGGTGTAATAGAAAAGGCCCGCCTTGTCAATGCATATCTTATAGCAATGGCTAAGCTAATCTAACAACAACACATGATAATGTAAGATGTTTAAATTAGGTATGAGTCTGTTAAATACATAGAAACAACACGGACAAATGTGATCAAATCCACAAATAAAGATGGCGTCATTACTTTGGAGATGTAAACAGCACTGGTAGCAATAGTTACCCGACCAGAGGTCAAAGGGGCTAAGAAGGCTGCAAACCTCTGGAGCAAGAATGACATACAACAAAAAGATATGTCAGCAAGCTTTCCAATGGGAAGAAAGAAGAGCACAAGGAGAACAAAAGAGAATATCATCTCTCTGAAAAAGCAATCACCTGATCTGCATTTTTTATTGCACTCAAATATTCGCCACTTGGTGAAACATCAGCCACGGAATTCAACAAATTTTCTCTGGGTATTCTCACATTGTCAAACCTGAAAACACATGTCCAGAACTTTTCAGTTTTAATGTGAATAAAATTCATTTATCGGATGCAATCTTGTTTGAAAAATGTGCATATTACCAAATACGGCCATTATCAACTCCATTTAAACCAATTTTGTGACCACAATCAGCTATTCGTATGTTTGGACATATGTTTCCATCTGAATCCCTGATTTGGGCAATAAATGCATGCACCCCTTGATTGCTTCCATTTATTATGAGCTGTGAAAAGACTATGGTGTGTGTGGCATGCTGGATGGAAAAATAAGTTAATTTAACGTATATATATATATAAACAAAGTTGGAGCAGGAGAAAAATGTAGGCACGAAAACAATCTTGTGACATCTAGGCTTTTAAATAATTATCAAGAAGTATACAAAAGAATCCTTACATTTGCTGCACCACCAATCCAATACTTCTGAGCTGACTCACATGGAGTATTGATGACAAATTCTCCAGTGTTTGAATCATAAGTGGTGACTGTTTCAATTCCTCGGACCTGTGAAATTTTGTCTAGAAATCATTATTAAAAGTTATAAGGAAAAAGAAAATAAACTACATATGGGCTAGAGCCCATTTGGATGGGTTTTTTTTCTCTACAAGCTGTTTTTCAGAGAGAAAAAAAAAAGCACTTCTCAATGTAAATTCGTTTAGATGTCTGCTTTAAAAAAAACATCAAAAGTCACAAAAAAACCAAAAACCTGATTTTTTTTAAGCTAAAAATTTCAACTTCTAAAAAAAGCATAAGTCAAAAACCAATTTTTTTTTCAAAAACTTAATTTTTTTAAAAAAACTAAATAGCTTTAACTTTTGTAAAAAACACTTCTAAAATAAGAAAGCATAAAAGCTGTTTTTTCTAAAAGGCCAAACAAACGGGCTCCTAATAACCCCAACTTATTTACCATCCTTCACATACATTACTTCCATGGCCCAACTCAGACATGGCAAAACAGCCCTTGATCTCATAGTTTTCAGTAGATTTCAACCACTTGTCATGATGGCGCTTGGTCCCCAGAAACTTTACTGCTCCACCCCTGAAATCCATTATTCATCAGAGAAACCAACAGAGTTCATTTATTACAAATGATATGGGAAGGGTGATCCAAGGTGGCATCATGTACGAATCCATCATTCTTTTTATTGTTTTCTACAACCACCTAATTGAGACAATAATTGAAAAATTGAGATTTATCTAATTAATTTACTTATGTTACAATTCTTGCAACAGCTAGCTTCAGAAGGCACAGAAACACATTAAATTATAGGTCCTGAAAGTTTGTCAAACAAGACTATGTCTCTTAACAGAGCCAGGTACGTGTTAAAATCTAAACTTTCTTTTGGAGAATTTACAAGCACAATTCAAACATCTGGATTCACACTTCACAAACATTCTCATCCACATACAAAAACAACAATTTGAGTTAGTAATTTAAGACCACCACTAAATTCTTTGTCAACTACAGAATTAGATTTTATCCCAGAGCTTCTCTGGTTGAATACAGTCCTCTAATAGGAAAGAAACTAAAAGGCTGAGCTTGTTAGTGTTGGGCAAGTGGTTTCTATGAGAAGGATGCGAAGGAACACAAAAGGGGGGCGAATATTGTGTCTACCAAATTTTACTTGTTTTTAAAACTTTGGTTTGATATGCGGACTTTATAAATTAGCTATAGTTAGTGAAAGCTGTCTAGGAGGTCCTTCAGTTAGATATAAAGTTATTCATAAGCCTTCATGTACATACTTAAACTTTTAGGATATTTGGTTCATCACATGGCATCAGTGCTGATCAAGTGGTTTACTTGCCCCATTTTACTAAATAAAAGTTAAATTTCATAAGGTTGGTTAACGTGCATCAACCATTGCTTCAGTCCCAAAAGACTCTTGCTTGAGTGTACACATGACTTAAGCTTTTGAGAAAATTGAATCATGACAAGCTTGTACAACGAGGTAAAGAAATAAAAAACAAAAATCACTTCAAGCCCCGTTAGCATAACAAAAACATATGAAGATATAACTACTCCTAGCAAGTCCAAAATGATTCTCACGTGAAAATCAAAACTTTCTATTAAATTTCTACTCCTCTCAAATGTGAAAGAGAGAAATTCTCCCGCACAACTAACTTGTTCCCTATAAGAGACTTTCACTAACGAGGGATCTACCAAGCTGAAAAATAAAACTTCCCATCCACCCCCTATTTCAAGCTTCACCTACTCAGATACCCTTCAAATTTTCCACCTCACCTAACAAACCAGAATAGAACTCATATATCACTTAAAATGACCAGGACTCAATGGCAGAGCCAGAAACAAAACAAAATTCAGACTAACTTAGGCAGGGCAACACGTAGCCAAATTTGAAGAATTCTTCAATTTTTCTTCATAAACGAGGAATAATAAGGACCAAGGGGAACGAATTTATGCTATACTACCTTTCTTTTAAATCTTACTGTAGTCTCAGACAAAGGTTTAATGAAATTCACGGGACGATCAAGTCATGTGATACAATCTCAACTATAGTCCTAACAATTCCACAAACACTCTCCCTTTCTTATATTTATTTGTCCATAATTTTAACAGTTCCACAAACAAGAAACCAATAATAAAAAATAAAAAAATGAATTGAGACAAGGGAGAAAACAATACCACAAGAACATATGAACGCCAAGCTTAACAGCGAGGGAGTGATCATACATCCCAATAATCTCATGAAGAGCCAAATTTCTCAGTTCTTGTTCAGGCCCATCACCAGTTAGCCACCCTTCAAAAACCCCTCGATCCAACAGATACTCGATTCGCTTCATCGTCATCTCTCGCTGCTGCTCCATCGAATGGTTGAAATCTGGTGACACGAAAACCCTCCCACCATGTTCCCTTCGGTTGAAGAGGTTGCTCTGCACAATCAAACCGAACAACCAGTCACGATCATCCAAGTTGTGACCATCCATCAGCCTCCGCATCTCCCTCACGTCGAATCCACAAGAATTCGAAAGCTCCGGAGGGGAGTAGCTCAGGCAGCTGTTCGGTTCCAGAACGCTTGTCCGCGGCGGCGCGCGGAGGAGCAGGTGGTTGGTGAGTACCTCGGTTCGCCGTAAAGCGCGGTGGTGGTCCATGGCGGATGATGATGACAAGATTATGAATGTGGAAAATAGATGAATGAAGCTTTATCCAAGTAAGTTTGAGAATTTCGAAAAATAAAATATAAATATGAAAAAGGAAAGGATATTATAATAAGCTACTATTAAGTTATTACCAATCAATCTCACTTATATTGATTGTGTGGATGAAAATGGTTATATTTATTTTTATCTTTATATGTTATGATTTCCCATATTTAAAGTGAAAGCATTAAATATAAGAAATCATAATCATACAAAGGTGAAAATAAATATAAAATATTAAATTTGGTAAATCATGATCATTCAAAGAAAGAAATAAATATAATTGTTGGATCAATATAATCGATCTAACTGTGAGATTGATTGGTAGTAATTTGGTAGTAACATAACTTGGTTGTTATAATATCATTCCGATATAAAAAATGTTATATTTATTATTTTTTATTATAATTTATTAAAAATTAAAAATTAATTAATAAATATGATTCAATAAATTCTAATTATTAGATTGACAAAAATAAAATAAAAAAATTAATAGTAAGAAAAAAATATTTCAAATTTATGATGTTATAGGTATGAGTTCATATTTTTTTATTCTGTCTTTTATTTTAATTCTGGTCCATATAAATCCACCTACTTTTGTGTTTGTGTAAATATTTTGTTATAAAAGGAAATTACAACGCACGAAGATGAGAACTATGAGGCTTTGTTTGATTTCTGTTATGCATAACGGTGTTCCGTAAAATCAATTTTAGATATAACATCTGTTTTTTAGTTTTAAAAATTAGAAAAGCAAAACAAGACTAGGGATGCTTTCAAAAGCTATTTTCTTTTCTTTTTTTGTGGTGCATTCTTATAAATATAAGGATCTTTTTTTGATAAAATATAAATATAAGGATTTATTAACGGTATTTTGATAAAAAAAAAATTTGTTTTTTTAATTTTAAATTACTTTATGGTAATAATATTGTAATTATGAAACTTCATTAATGATAATTTTATAAATAATTACAACTTCTTTATAATTTTAAAATTAACTATACTTAAACAAGTTTTATTATTCTTTTTATCTTAAAATCAGTTTTCAAAATGTATGTTCAAAACAAGTTTTAAAACAAAAAATAAAATAAAGGAAGAAGTATTTATTTTTAATTGATATAATTTTTGTCATTTCACTCTCACAAAGAAATGAGACTCACACCTTATTTTTTTGCCCACTCTCACTCCTCCATGATCTATCTATTTTTTTCACTTAAAATAACACAACTTTACATCATTTAAAATGACATACATTGTTATCAAAAAAAAAAAAATGACATACATTTTTCCCAAAAATAAAAACACATCCAAACACAGCCCGATATTGTTTGGAAATGTTTATGGGGTATTTGGTAGAGGAGAAAAAAATTTGACCAGGAAAATACAATGACTAAGAATATGGTGAGAAAATGAGTTTGGTAGGAAAGTTAAAAGAAAGTTGTTTGGTATTACCGAAAAATTGGGTTAAATTTTTTAAGTCTATATTTGGTTGAAGATAAAATACAATTTCAGTATAATAAAAGAGTTTTATAAATGAGAAGAGAAATTTTCCTACATACTTTTTTATTTTCGTGTTAATATGGATCTCATATATTACTTTATTTAACATATACGTTTCATATGACTCTTTATGACATAAGAAAGTTCATCTAATGTAACATGAAAAGTATAAAATCCTAAATAAAATTGAGGTTTGTTTTTGTTATATAGTAGAAGAAAACAAAACAAACCCTTATGATAGATACCATAAAAAAGTGTGTCATTCTTTTTCTATTTTTTATTTTTTAAAGTTGATGGACCTCATATTTATTGTATCTAAGATATGAGATTAGAAATTTTCTACAACATAAAACTTCTTTTTCCTAATCAAATTTAACGGTGATGTTTAACAATTTAAATATTAAGGATACTATTGATTAAAAAAGTTTTGAGCATTTTTTATTCCAAAAAACCTTAGGAATATTTATTAAAAATTTCCAGAAAATAATACATATTATGTTTTAATAATTTTATTAAAAATAGTAATAGTTAATAGCTGCATTCTTTAAGTAGTAAAAAATTAAATTGTTTAATAAGAGGATAAAGTTCTTTTATAGCTAAAAAAGAGGTGGCAAAGTGGGCGGTTTGTCCCACGCCGCCATTAATCTATCAAAAGATAAGTCAACCCATCCTTCCCACTTTTAAAATTGCGCCAAAAATATCAACAACAAAAAAAAATTGAGCCAAAAAAACTCGTTTTGTCCCGCTCCGTTTGGCTGAGGAGCCAGACTGACCCACTAACCCAAATATATTTTACATTAATCCGCTCTGTCCCGTCTCACCAAAAACAAGAATAAACTATAAAACTAAGTCTGTCTCACTCAATTCTATTTCACGAGTGGAGCAGATCGGCCAGGCCGACCGAACTCATTTTGACAGTTACTCTTGTTAAAAAAATTAAATTTTTTTACTATTTAATGTTTTATGTATCATTAATTGAATCGCTGACTTTTAAGAATGGCTGACGGCCTGACGCTGCCCAGTGCCCACGTTTGAGGCTGGCTTTTCACATCTATGATTCCTTATCTTTATCGCTTGTCATTTTTCTTAATGATACATAAAAACACAAGTGACACAATTAAGGGGACGGTTATACTTATCACCAGGTAAATTTATCACTTTTATCATCAATCTTATTACCATTAGATTAAAATTAAATCTAACGGTTCATAATTATCTCTTATAATTCTAATTTTTACTCTCACATCCCCTCTGTAACACCCTGTGTTAACCCGGTTTATTAACATGTCATCGTATTAAGCCACGCTTAATATAAAAATGCGGAATTACTTTTTCTGTTCAATTATGACGTCATTATACTTAGCCAAGTTGATTATTAAAATCCAATTACAAAATATCGTCTGTATGTGATTGTAATCCAACAACTAACTGAAATACCTCATAACATATATGTGAGTATCTAAGTCACGGATCTACAACACGTAGTCCGGACAATATCCTGATACATTATTAATTACAACTAGAAACAACTAAACATAAAGTCAAGTCAATGTGGCATAGACAATCCCCATGCTCACCAAATAAGGCAACAAAGTCCCACAGCAGTCTCAACAATAACATCATGAAGCTAAAAGCATAAAAGGCAACGGTCAATATCCAGCATCCAACATAAGCAGCATATAATCAGCTAAGCTCCGTCCTCCTACCGCTAGAGGTCTCAACCCCCACATTACCTGAACCTGAAATATGTGCCCCAAACGTGGGGTAAGATCTCTAAAAAGAAATCTCAGTAAGACAAGGGGTCCTCAAGGATCTTCCACCCCAAGCTCACTTACATGTGCAATATAAGTTCTAAAGCAGTTCAACAGTATAAGTTTCAAAATAATGCAATGCAACAGATAATCATGCCATGTGTGTTATAACAATTCTACTGATCAGAGAAGTGCAGGAATGCGTCTATTACCCACACAGTACCAGCCCATGCTGTACCCGCCCCCAGTACCACCCCATGGCTTCCTGGCTAGGCGAAACACCACATACATATCATAAGCATTTTGCACTTAACAGCTTCATAGCATTTCAATAAAACAGTACATGAAAACACATCATGCATATAAATCATCCCTCCATAGGACATGGTGGATCATACAATGGCTAAACCGAGGACACGAAAGCTTACCTTGCAAGCTAACTATCCAATGCCAAGAGTCCACACAAGCTCAAAGTCCTCACACAGCACAATCACAATCTGTTTGGACCAACAATAATATCAATATTCATACTCAACAAGCATGCGGTATAAGACAACGCCTTTTTTTTTGCGTTCTATGCCTTAAGGCTTCTCACAAAGCCACAAGCCCTTAATCACTTGATTCTGACTTAACTAATTATTACAGAGGTTCAACATAACTCATCATGGGTCCACAAACCCATAAATATCGTTCTATATGAATAGAACAACTTCTGTTCTTCGAAAACCCAGAATATCCGGATATTTGTCGGGGGCATATCCGGATATCTATCTCGCAATATCCGGATATCAATATTCAGATATTCAGAACCCCATATCCGGATATCAATATCCGGATATTTCCAACCCAATATCCGGATAATTCGCCGCAGAACCCAGATTCTGCATTTCGCGAGATATCTTTCCTAAGGATCCATTTTTACTGATTACAGAAGCTAACACATGCATTTCTAGGTGTGTTTAAGCTTACCCAACCTTAAGTTATGATCTTTAGCTTGTTACATGCATCAAGGTTCCATTTTTAACCAAGAAAACTCATGATCAAGGTGATGGTGCTTACCCAAAGGCTTTAAAACAGAGTCACGAGAGCTCTTGGAGCTCACACAACAGCTCCAAGGTACTGACATCAACTGTGTGCGAAAATGATGATCAAAGATTGGCCCTTTGCACAACAGATGGCTCCTTGGCACCACCAATGCCAAGTAAATGGCTAACACACACACCAAGTTCAGAGGCAGCAAAAGCACCTCCCCCAAATGGTACCCACGACCCAGTAAATACTAACCTTCAGCCTCACAATGCACTCTACCAAGTGTTTACTTGTTTAGAGATGAAGAAATCAAGCAAAGGTGACAACTTGATCTCAAAATGGTGAAGAGAAGCAATGAAACAGTAACACACAGTTCAGCCTCCAAGAGTGTCACGTAGAAGTCTGATACGACCTAGGGTTTTGGGCCAAACTTGCGTATTTATAGCGTTTTAAGAATTGAACACACAGTATTAGTGCTAATTGCTACGCCTAGCATTTTAATCCCCAACTTAGGATTCTGAACCTACTCATTTTTCTAAGATTTATCATATTTTTATTTTATTTTTGCAGCACCTTTCCGGTACGCGCTTTTCCATAGCCAATATCAGTTCTGACACCAGTTCTCATTATTTTGACTTGAAATTTGTTTTACAAGTCCTATATATTATTCTAGTGACATATACACACTTTTCGTAATTTTCCAGGATACTT